AAACTTCAATTTCAGGGGATCTCAACACCCTGACTTCCACAATTGCATGTGGTGCACATGCATGCATGTAGACAATACACTCATACACATAAAATAAATAAGTCTTTTTAAAAATAATTTAATTTTATGTACATTGGTGTGAGGGTGTCAGATCCCCTGGAACTTGAGTGACAGACAGTTGTAAGCTGCCATGTGGGTGCTGGGAATTGTACCTGGGTACTCTGGAAAGACAGTCAGTGCTCTTAACTGCTGGGCTATCTCTCCAACCCCCAAAATAAATAAATCTTAAAATTAAAAAAATGAGCACACACATTTTTATCCCAGCACTCGGGAGGCAGAGACAGGTGGATCTCTGCATATGAGGCCAGCTTGGTCTACAGAGCAAGTTCCAGGACAGGCTTCAACAGAGAAACCCTGTCTAGAGAAACCAAAAACCAACATAAATAAATAATAGTTAAAAATATGTGAATGGGGGATTGTGTCTGTGCTTACATTGAGGTCAGAGGACAACTTAATGGGAGTCAGTTCTCTCCTTCCATCCTGCAGGTCCCAGGGATTGAACCTAGGTCTTCAGGCTTGACTGCAGATGCTTTTATCTGCGAAGTTATCTCATTGGGTGCTTTCCCTTTAAATAGTTTGTATATGTGTATATATGATTCTGTGCACACCAGGGTGTGCTGTGGAGGTCAGAGGACAGCTTTTGAGAGTTGGTTTTCTTCTTCCATATGTGTCCCAGGGATGGATTCAGGTCTTAGCCTCAGAAGCAGGCTCCTTTTCCTGTTAAGCTATCTTGTCCCTTCCTTAATTCTTTTTAAAAGAAATTTTCCTTTATTAGCATGTATTAATTATATGTAACAATGGGTTCATTGTGAGATTTTTCACAAATGTACATATTATTATTTTGATGACACCATTGTTCTCTCTCCTACCCCCCATTCCCATTGATCCTTTCTCTGCCCACGTCATCTGCCTTTTGCTTTTATGTCTTTTTTCCCTGGTGAACCAATGACTTTAATGAGAGTTACTTAACATGAGCGAGGGGTATTTACAGGTGCCTAAGTGGCTCTATCACTTAAGTAAATCTTTCTCTCCGTTAAGTAGATGTAGATCCTCAGGTCCTCAGGAAAGTGGGAGCCTCTATAAGCCCCACTCTCTATAGTAAGTGCCAATTATAAGCTTCAGGGAAGTGAGTCATGATCCCTTATGCCTCCATGTCACAATGCTGATGGCCTCAGTCCTTTGCAGGTCTTACTCAAGTAATCTCAGTTGCTGAGCGATTAGGAGGCAATGGCGGTGATGCGCCTGAGAGACAGTGTTCTACCTCACCCCCCCTCATCATCTTGCTCTTCTGTTCTCTCTACTGAAGCTTCCATGATGTTCCCTGAGCCTTGCAAGGTGTTGATTTGGATGTCCTGTGTAGGGGTGACCACGCAACAGTCACTTATTCTCAGTCAGCTGACCAGCCGAGTGACAGTCACGTCTGACCTTAGTCCCAGTGGCTGTGCATTAAACTACTAGCGACTTGGCCGCTCAGGACGTAGCCTAGGGGGTCCTGTTTCCCAGACTATGGCTCTGCTGCCACTGCTAAAGGTAGCTATTACTAAATCACTATTCTAACAGAGATTCAAAGGCTAAGGTGAAAACCTGCCTGCTCAGAGAGCGACTGACTAACAGTCTCTCTTAGCTGGTGTTCTGGAAGCCCTTCTTCTTTCACACCGCCCCAAATAAAGAAACACTCCCCTCTGCTGCTTCCTCTCAACCAGTTGCTGACCCACCTCTCTGAGCCAAGGTTAATTTTATTTAATTAATGCAAATGCAACACATCTTTACATACTTATATAAATGCAGCATAAACACACGGAACACATCTTTACATACTTAAATAAATGCAGCATAAACACACGGAACACATCTTTACATACTTATATAAATGCAGCATAAACACACGGAACACAACTTTGCCAGTTAAACTAATAGTCCACAACACACTACCACCCACAGCAAAAGGAATTTTCTCTGCCCAGTGTGGGAGCAGCACTAATCTCTGGGCATAAACATAAATGTTTAAAAGGGAATTTAATGGCACATCAGGACCAGTTAGTACGACACAGCAGTAGCATCCCCACTAGGGCACACGCAGGGCTTTTGACCACATTTATAGTACCAGATGTGAATTATCTTTTGCGAACAGGCCTCAGATCTACTCAGAAAGTTGGTTACCCGTTAACCACATTAATGGGCACATCTTGCAGGTTCGTACTGTAATATGTAGGATTCAACGTTCTCCTGTATTTGTATTTAATAATAATTTTTTTTGCTGTGAGCTCTTTAAAACTAATTTTATAAAATTATTAGCTTTGCTGGGCAGTGGTGGCACATGCCTTTAATCCCAGCACTCGGGAAGCAGAGACAGGCAGATCTCTGTGAGTTAGAGACCAGTCTGATTTACAAGGCTAGTTCCAGGACAGGCCCCAAAGCTACAAAGAAACCCTGCCTTGAAAAACAAAACGAACAAATAAAAATTATTAGATTGATGTGGTAATACATGTCTATGATGCTAGGAAGTGGTGGCAAGAGAATGAAGAATCACGAGTTCGAGGTTAGCCTGGATTTATTTTAAGACTCTGTGAAAGGTTTTGCCGCTCTATAAACCTCTCTGCCAACCCAATAATCCAAATCAGACCAAATCAAACCGAATTAGAAAAAGTCCAAATCTAATGGATGCCAGCGCTCCAAGGTGGCTTTCCAGCCTTCAGAGAGGAGATGGGGAAAG